GGCTTGGATTCCTGCCCTTCCAGTCTAGCTCCAGGGGAGGAAGACAGGAGGAGGTGGGCACTGGCCTGAGGCTCTATTCCCTTCTTTGATTCAGGCATTAACATCTACCAGCCGGCGCCCCCTACGGGTCCCACCCGGAAACCCCTGACGGACCTGGGTAAGCATTGCGGGGCTGCTCTGCCAGGGAGGATGGAGCCCCTCAAGGAATGATGTCTCACCAACCCTTCGTCCTCCCCACTGGCCAGGTAATTTCCGCGGATGGTACATTACTACCGAGAACCTCCAGGGGCCCCTCAGGTGAGTTGCACAGGGCCTGGGGATGGGGTGGAATTAGGTGCCTTCCGTCCTCCAGCCTTCTTTGCTGTGTGTGGCTCCTGCAGGGGGACCTCTCTTTCTTGCTCTGGTGACAGGGTTAGTCATAACACAATGCCTATGAAACATGCAACATAGGCACCCAAGAATTCTGACCAGCACACAGCACAGTAGGTGTTTGATAACCCTTACTCTCATCCGGAGAGAGTCACCAGGGTCCTCTATTAACCCCAGTCCGGCTCCTGAGTTGTAGTTGAGAGGGTGTATGTAATTCAGGGGCTCAGAATCAAATCCCTTTTTTTTTTTTTAAATTTGGTGGGTTTTTGTTTTGTTTTTGCTTTACTGATTAAACTTAAACTAAACAAATCTCTAGGACTGAGTGTAAACCCCAGCCCCTCACTGGGGAATTCTAGGCAGGGGCTCTACCCCTGAGCCATGCCCCCAGCCCCTCACTGGGGGGATTCTAGGCAGGGGCTCCACCAATAAGTCACACCCATAACCCCTCAACTAGGGGATTCTAGGCAGGGGCTCTACTACTAAGTCACACCCCTAGTCCTCTTTTTACTCCCCCCCCTTTTTACTTTTTATTTTGAGACAGGATCCCACTAAGTTGCCTAAGTATGCCTGAAACTTCCAGTTCTCTAACTCAGCCAATAGAGTGGCCGAGATTCCAGGCCTGGTTGAAATCTTCTAAAGTGTCAGTTTTCTTCTGGAACAAAGGCTTGTGTACATTCCCCTCCAGGGTCTCCTAGGAACCAAGGACTGTCAGCCTCTCACGTGTGGGGTGGGGAGAGGGTCTCCTGCTGTCACTAGAGCCCTGTGACCCTACTTCCTCCTCCCTGGGAGACCTCAGGATTGTGGAACTACCAGACAGACCCATTTCCTCTTGTTTCTCTGCAGCTGGACCGTGAAGGAACAGTGTGTGAACCTGCTGGCCAAGAAGCTTTGGGAAGAACTGCTGGATGACGAGCAGCCTGACATCACCGTCATGGACTGGTGTGCCCTGCCCTGCCTGACTTCTCTGCCCTGCCTGGCTGCCTGATCATGGCCATTCAGGCTTCCTAGACTTCAGGCTTCCCTGTTTCCCAGGGCCTGAGCCCCTCATCAACACCCCTTGACACTATGTCCCATCCCCCACACACACACCACGCCTCCTGTCCGGCCTCCTCTGGATCTTTGTATATTTGTATCTTTCCGGTGTCAACTGGGTGGGGTCCCTCTGGATCAGGCTGTTCCTTTATCTCCCGAAGCCTTTGCCCCTCTGTGATGCCCAGATTCATTCCCCTCTTAAGGGGTAGTTTCCCAAAGCTACCCCAGTTATAGGAAGGGTCCTTTACCCCAACGCCCTGCATTCTCCCCTGCACCCTCACTTTGCTCTTTCCCTCTGCCTTTACCCCATCTCACCTTGATTTCTGCCTGCTCCTGCCATCTACATACGTAGAGAGTGACAGTGACGTTTCTGCTCCCCCACTGGACAGGGCATGGGGCTGGAGAGTTGTGTGATGGGGCCCAGGACCAGGGCTTGGGGCTGAGATGGCGTGACAGCTGTCTGCAGGTGACAGCCTGACCCTCCTCCATCCAGGTTCGAGGACAGCCGCCTGGACCAGTGTGTTTATGAGCTGCATGTCTGGCTCCTGGCCGCTGACCGCCGCACAGTCATTGCCCAGCACCACGTGGCCCCTCGGACCAATGGGAGAGGTCCCCCTGGCCATTGGGTTCAGGTGAGATGCCCTGCCAGGTCCTGCCCGCGCAGGTGTTCTTTCCCAAGACCTTGGGCAGGGGGAGGAGGGAGAGCAGGCTGTGGCAACCTGCTGCGACTTTGTCCCCAACCCTGGGCCGCCACAGGTGTCCCACGTCTTCCGGCAGTACGGTCCCGGAGTACGCTACGTCCACTTCCAGCACAAGGCCAAGAACCGCATGGAGGCTGGGGGGGCGCGGCGGGGCAGGG